CGTTCCCGGGCTTCCTGCGCTCCGCCGCCCGGAACACGCCGGCATCAGCAAACAATGAAATCTGCGGGCCGAAATTGAATTTATAACCACATTACCCGCACAGATAACGTCTCCGAGTGGCGCCGCGATAAGAGCGATGGGGATTTGATTTTCAGGTGTTTTATTTGTCCACTTTTTGGATAAGCCCCCAACCCCCCCCCCCCCCCCCCCCCCCTTCCCCCCCCCCCCCCCACCCTGTCCGTCACCTTTGCTCCTCTCAAACATCCTCTTTAATGGCGCGGGTGTTCGGACGCTACACACACACACACACACACACACACACTTTTTGTTTTACAGCTGTGTGTTTGTGCTGAGTCCCCGTCGGTTGTTTGGTTCATGAGCACCTTTTTTTACACGTCCCCGCCCCTCCGCTGCCCTCCTCCCCGGCCTACATAAACCCTGTCAGTGTTAGTCAGCCTCAGCTCCTCTTCAGCCTGGGGGGTCTGAGACACACAACAGGGGGCTGTAAAAAGCCGCCAGCGGGGGCTTGTTAACTGTTCTCTCACTCCGGCAACTGGCTCGGGTGGTTAGACCCGCTCTCTCCGGGCCGGCCGGGCGTGACTGGCCCATATCCAAATGGATTCACCGTCTCCCTGTGTCTCTGATTGTTCGCTTTTTCTTTTTTTTTTTTTCTGTCTCGGCAGTTCGGGACCTTGTTTCCTGGCCCGTTTTGTCACTGTCACGCTGCCAGTTCTTCCCAGAGGCCACGTACAAAATCTCTGAGTCCAAGGGCCCAAATCTGTTCACACGGATTCGTATCACTTAAGCCTTATTCAAAATGGCCAACCTGTTTTCAGAATGGTCCATATTACTTCTGTAAAAGAAAACTTTTATATATACAGATGTCGTTTTGAGAGAATAACATGCATGAATGAAATCTTCTCCACATGATTTCAGACAGCTCCCCCCTATAGGCAAATACCTCTCCCAAACACAGCAATAAGCTAATACCAAGAGCTTCTTGAGCTAATAAAGTCAATCTTTTGAGACCAAAAGCACGCTGTCATTCCCCGTTTCCCCTCACATGATTGACGGTGAAAATCAGATTCCCGGTATTCCCAAAACGACGCCCGGCTGGGACTCTCCTGGGCGACAAGCTTTTCCAGTGAAAACGGAGAGATCAGGATCCCGCTTGCCAATCCTCGGAGCGCTGGGCCCCCCCCCCCCCCGAGGGCCCGGGTAATGGCCGGTGCCAGCACCCATATGACGGCTGCCAGTTCTGCTGATGCAGATGGAGCGGAGATGCCTAACGTGACCTTTTGTGAATGCCACATCACATCAGGCCTGGATGTCACCAGCTGACATTATGCCGGGGCATGAAAAGGCTGTTCTTTAGAGGGGGGGGGTTATGGTGACAAACGTAGCCCCAGTGACAAACCTGTAGACATGGCGTAATTCTGATTGACGCGAGCAGGATTGGACGGCTTTGAATGGCAGCCACACACACACACACACAAGCAATCAGCCATGTAAGAAAACGGGGTGAGGCCTCCTTTTTTTTTTTTTTTTTTCAGTGTGCGTAGGCCTGGTCTGTTTTTCTGTGTTCGTTGGCAATAAAGTGCTGAGACAACTCACTCCAAATGGCATCATTATCCCAATCATCAAACAATTCTCTAAGCACATCAGAAATCCCTCTATAAAGCCATAACAAGCAGAGACTCTATATAACCAGTAGGCATGTAGAGATTGGCGGGGGGAGTGAAGTTAACGCTTGGCGGCTAACACTGCACTGGTGGGTAGCGTAGGCAGGTCCTTGGCACACTTTCAGAGGAGATGGAGGGCTATAAAATCCATTGGCTCCTGCCACACCTGTACCCCACCCTATCCAGTGGCCTGCTTCCTATTTAAACGCATCACATGCAGGATATTAGTCAGGGTTTTTTGCCATCTGTGAGGTAGAGCTAACCTCAGAAGCAGAGGGGGGAGAAGGGAAAGTATGCGGGCCGCCGTTTGTTTTTTATTGGGGAAATAATGGCCTATTGAGAGGTTGGGTATTTAATGAGCAACATAATAGGCCCTGTAGTAACACATCTGCTATGAGCAGAGTCATTTCCTTAGCTTTCAAAGGCTGTTGTTCCAGCCTTTGAAAAAAAAGCAAGTCCAGTTGCCTTTGACTTAGTACTTGGAGATATCTGCTTTTTATTAATTGCAGAATTGCTACACCGGTCGCACATAAAAGAGCTGCGAGGCTCCACGTTCAATCCTAACCACATTCACTCCTCGCCCGGCTCGGCCTGGAATCTCTCACTGTCCAATCTAATTCCAGCATTCTTCAAAACATCCCTCCAACTCTCCAATCAATTGTGTTTAATGTATTAAAGACACTCACCACAACCACCGCAACCTTTGGCCCCGGCGCAAATCAATGCCTCGTTAGAGCACTAATGATCATTCATTGACTAATAAGATCTGTATCAACCTCTTGTAGAACATTGATTGGCCTTTGGCCTTTGTAGTGCTCCGTGCGGCGTGTGGACAGCGGGAGGCCTCAGCTGTAAGTCACAAGGAGTCAGATGATGAAAAAGCTCCGGGTGGGAATGGATAGGAATCCTAAACCCCAAATAGACTCATTCTGAAGCACCTCAGGCCAAAGCTCTTTTCTTCCGTCCCACGGATCAATGGATAACCTTTCCGACCACAGGTCAATCAGCAGAGAGACTCCGATGTTTCCTCCCCCTTTCTCTTTTCCCTCTGATCTTCTACATTAGTCACTGCGATTGTTCCATGCGGCGCAGTCGTGGCTCTGCATGCGTGTGTCCAATCACGACCCTGATAGAGAGCGAACCGGGTAGCCCGGCTAGTGTTTTTCCGTGACCATATTTCCTCTCCCTGGCCCGGGGGCAAAGATCGAACCCTGCCTCTGCTCTGTTTCAACCAATCAATCTGCCCCTCATTGAGATGCATGGCTCAATGATCTCTGATCAGGACTTCCACATTGGAGAGAAGGAGTGGACGTAAGAACAGAAGTCAGGACTGTCCTCGGGTACTTGGAAAGATATGAGACTCCTTCGGAGCCAAAATAATATAGCCTATTCTTGAAAAGACTTCAACTGGAGTATGTAGCCTATCACAGATGACATCCGTCTGTGGCAAGTTTATAAAATACGAACTGGGTTCTTTTTTGTCCTCCCAGTGTTACTGATAATGCTCAGGTTTTTAGTTCTAAGCAGAGCAAACCTGAGACGATCTTCTGAAAAGTTGAAACATGAGTCTGGCATATTTCTGCTGTCTAGTTTGAAGAAAACTCGATTTCGCTATGTCTGAATTACACATTTAAAAACAAAATGTGTTCATTCCACTGCACTCTGAGTGTGTTTTTTGAATATTTTTACAATGTATAATTCAGTCAAGATGAGGCCAAGGCGAGTGTGAATTTGTGGTCTAGGTTCAAATGAATTCCGAGGCCTTTTCTTGTGTGATAAGGATTTTCTTGTGTCATTTATTTACCCGTCTTTCTACTCGCGGTGTGACATTTCATGACAGTAACGTGAAGTCTTTGTCACTCAGGTGCAGAAATATTGTTTCGTACCAGATGAGGGGACACTTGTTGAGAGGACAGCTATGCGTCCTCCCAGAGATCCCTCCAATATTTCTCCCACCTGAAGCCTAAGCCACCGTCAGCCCGTTAGGTTTTATACGTGATACGACCCGTAATGGCAAAGCTGTAGCAGGCAGGAAAGCATGTCAGGTCACAGTCTGAGCAAACCTAAAGAAGAAAAGTGAACTGCTTACACTAAAGAACATTCATGGGAACAGGTCTGTTCACATTGTAATAGATGGTTGAAGGATTAAATGCAGGATTTGAACTTTTAACTGGGTTGGTTTCAAATCCAGCCTGGGCCTATTTTTTACATACCTTGTATTTCCCCGTGCTGCTTGGTTTGGTTCATTAGAAAACACATTTTTAAAGGACATAACTGAGCCACATATAGTGTAGTTGATAAAAAAAACAGATGTACAGATATCTGGTATTTTGCTTTTGCCTATTTGGGTGCTTGGATAATCTTTTGAATTTTTTTTTTGTTCTTTTTAGATAAGTTCCATCTTTTAAATATAAATGTGTTTATGCATGTAACAGATGCTTTTATCCAAAGGGACTAACAAAGCAGAAATAGGTAGATATATCTCCCCGTCGGGGAATTGAACCCCGGTCTCCCACGTGACAGGCGGGGATACTGACCACTATACTAACGAGGAGATATATATAAAGGTATATTTACTTTTTTTTCAGAGAAGCAGTCAACAGTAACTATCGTGAAATTGCCAGCCTTGGGGAACAAAATGCCATATCTGAAATTGGGACATCTGTTTGCTGACAGCTGTCAGTTGGATCAAGACGCTCCTGCCAGTGGACAGCGATAGCCCCATTCACCAGAAGCCTGTCGGTCATTCTGATCCAATGACCAAGCACAGATATCTGAGTCCGCCACGCTGTATCATGCTCTTTAGCCAGTCTATTTCCATATAAAGAAAGCTGTTTAAGTTTATTTCTGCTATTCTGGACATAATCACCGCTACGGGAGTGGCAGAAGGACATAAAGGAGCAGACAGACATATCACAATCCCTCATTAGAGGGAAATTAGATTGGCACCAAAAAACACGTCACTATTATCCGAAGTGCTGATTAATACTCGTTAATTCTCTCTCTCTCTCTGTCTCTTCGGCTTCTCTCTGCTGCTTATTATTCCGGCGTCTTACAATCCCAGCTCCCATTTTCATTTCCCCCCTCGCTCTGTCTCTCAATTAGTGGTTAATAAGGAGAAAATGAGGGGACGCTCTGTTGCTTACGAGGACTCAACTTTTCTAAACACTCGTGGATAAACACTTTGTCAGTAAAGCTCGCTAAAGAGTTTAATTATGGGAGAACTCACCAGCAGCAACATGGCCTGAAAAAGACGTTTTCCTCTTTTATATTTTATATTTTACTAAATAAAAAAAAGCCTGAGCATTTTGAGATTTGAAAGAATTTCTGAAATGAGAAAACAGACTGAAATTATCTTAAAATTATTTTAAAAATGCTAAATAAGAGCAAAGTCAGCACTCTAAACAAGTCCTAACTCTAGAAATAGACTTACTCTTCTAAACTGCTCTTAAGAGAAATTCTATCAGTAACTCCAAAGAAAATAATAAATGACTTCACAGTAACAAAGCCAAAAGGTAGAGATGTTGCTCAATCAAGGAGAAAATAGTAAAAATTCCCTTCTGGTACCCTTGAGTGTCCTATCGGGTTCTGTGAGCTGTGGGTTGGGGTCTGGACGAGTGTCTCACAGATGCCTTCAGATCCCATTAGAATGAAAATTTCTGACCAGTATCTCAGAGTATTTCTCACGTTCTTTGAGCAGTTTATTGCAAGTGGGGGGAAGTTTCTATTTAAAGGTGGGCTGAGGGGGCATGTCGGATGTTTACCCAGGCAAAAGCTGCAATATTTTTTTTAAAAACCCCAAAAGACGTTGTTGTTTAAATAAAAATTTTCTAAAAATCTGTCAGTCTCAAAGTAAAAAATAAAAATATCTTACATTTTCATCCTGCATATGCACAATTACAGACTTTAAAATGTTTTAGAAATGCACCTCTGTGCTGACTCACGCAAACACACACAAGCGCGTACGTTGTGTTGCTCCAAAGAAAACACACCCACCTGCTCCCCCCTCACACACACCTGTCCCTCATGCGCTTTGTGCAGGGCAGGGCGGCAGCCATTAAGGAGCGGCGCTCCAGAAAAGGCTGAGAGCGGGCGGAATACTTCAAACAAAAACGCCGTCCACCCCCCCACCCCCCTCTGACGGTCAATCCACTGGCTGTGTGACTAACCAGGCCCCGCATGAGGCCTCCGGTGAGAACTTGTTAAAAGTTGGGAACAACCCTCCTGTCATTCCAGATAAGCGGCAGATAACATCTGATACTGTCAGAAGCACGGTCCCACTGCTGCTGGTCGGAGGCCAGGTGCGATACACCTGTGTTTGGGTTAGTCACACTTCCTAAAGGATGTTATTGAGTCTGCCTGGACGAGCGCACAATCGCGGCAGATGACGATAGTTTTTTATCTTCAAATGGCGGAAAGATACAGGCGATCGAGTGGCTTATCTCCAATCACTCAGAGACACAAAAGGGGGAGGAATCGGGACGGGTTTGGGCATCGTTTTTTTGACGATAACTCAATCCAGTGTGCACGAAAGCACTGGGATCTTCAAGGATGACTGCAGGTGAGGAAAAGCACTTTTGCCCATGTAATATTTTCTAATAACGACTCTAAAATGCGAAAATCAAACATGAAAAAACTGGACTAACAAATGCAGATTATATCTAGTTATACAATTGATGGTTTCCCACTTCGAACATCAGTGTTCTGACCTGTCCCGCAGTGGGGATGGACCCACAGCTCCACTCAACTGCGCGTGTAATCGTGCTGACTGTGGCTGAATGTTTTTTTTTTTACTCATACATCAGGACTTGGATATGTTGCTGTATTGTTTAAATCTATCCCACCATTGAGGCGTTAACCACAGATAAAGGGGAGAGGTATAAATAACGCTCCGGTAGTGGCTGTTTTTTTTTTTCTTCCTGGGACTAAAGGGCACCAGCGTCTGTGCACGGTTGCCCAGCACCAAACATTTTGACCTTGCTTTGTCGGGATATAGACGAAACCGGGGGCTTACGTCCCTCAGCTGTGGATTGGACCGAACCTATTTGGGTGATACGTGTGTGTGTGAGTGTCTGGGAATGAATACCAGGCGTTTGTAATTGTTTCTGCATGCACATTTGCGTCTGTACACATACACATCATTCACACACAAGCGTGTAGCCGGGGAGAGCACAGCGCAGTGTGAGCCCCCATCGATACGCCCCCCCCCCGGACCCTCCCCCACCCGTCAGCAAACACAGGAGAACAAAGGGGCCAGTGGCAGCGCCAGCGGGTATAGATCTTCTCCCCTGTGTTCTGGCTCAGTGGGGGTCACACAGGCGCCGCTCACAGTTCAATCTCCTCTACTTGACTGATCGGGAGCTTTGAGCCGCTGCTAATGAGACTGGACTCTTTCCAGTCCGCAGGAGCCTGAAGCGGCCCACCCCAGCGCCGGATCCACGGGTCCACGCGTATACGCAGAGCGAAACGCACGAAAAAAACAACGAAAACCGTCCAAACGCTGAGTCAGGGAGGGAAATTGGACGATCAGAAAAAATAAATGGAACATAGAAAATATCAAGCACTTAATTTTAAACGTAGTACTAAAAGACTAAAGTGATGTCATTAAATCACCTCTAGTAACTATGCCTATGATAAAAAAAAAAAACAACAACATCCACATCCACATCAACAAACACATCTACCAGTTTTTTAGATTTTCCATTTATTTCCCACAAAGGTGTGTTTCCACCGGCTATTTCCGTCTGGCTCTGAGCTGGACCGCTACATCGGGTGCCTGGGTGAAAATGATGTGCGCTTTAGTGACTTCGCCAATGCGAACTTGAACAGCAAAAGAGCCACTCGATGAGCCAAAGTAGCATCATTTGCCCTGAAAGAGTCCAGAGCATCTATCCCATAATCATTCAGTGATTGATTGGTAATTGCGCTAATAGGGTCGCGACCGAGACAAAGGGATGTGTGTAAAGAGTCCTTTCTCTCGCTCGCTCTCACAGACTCGCGGCAGGCCTGCTGAGCGCCGCCTGTGTGGTCTATGGGGACAATTAGCACAATCTCCATACTAATAGCGGCCTGTAATGGACACTGCTGAGCCTGCCAGCCACTGTTTGTGTGCCTGTGGGTTTGCATATGCATGTGTGTAAGGGAATGCTTGCATATGCACATACACTCCAGCGTGAGGGCCCTCCTGTGTGTAGTTGAGCATCTGCTTGCCCTCTGGTTGCAGAGTGCATGCTGAATTCTTATGTTTACGTACTTATATATGTGTCTCTTTACCTTTCCTGCAAATGGGTAACAAGTAGCCTGTATTTTACTGTGTTGAACCCCTCCCTCCGTCCTGTTTTCTGGCCCTAACCCTGATCCACATCCACTCATTAGCACTATAATAAAGAGTTGAGACCATGTAAAAGGTTATATACTGCCGGACTGCTGTTTTCCTACCAATTATTAGAGCCGTGATTTATGGCTGAGACCCAGTCCTATTCTCAGTGGAGAATTGGGGGAGTGTTTACACCCTGACACAGCGGGGTGAGGGGTCAATCCTGGTCAACTTTGACCTTTAAGGCAGGGGTGCACAGGCAGTGATGGGAGCCTGCCAAAGAGTTAATCGCCACTGGAAGTGGCTCAATTGATCCCGGGGTCTTCAGGGCGAATGTGTAAATAATCGCTGCGGTTTCTTGTGAATTTGAATGTTGGAACCGACTCGTGTAAATAGTTATGTGGCCTCAACCCTTCTGCGTAGAGGAATACATGCACCATACCATTTGTTTAAAAGTTCCTATTATGGAATCAAAAGTCAACGCAGTGACACTAGTCCGTACTATCAGTCCAACGAAGCATGACATGGCATTGAACACATGCAAAATACATGCTATTTTGTGCTATGTGTCAATCAGGATTCAAAATATGCTTACGATAGCAGCCACTTTGCAACTCCCAGAAGATGTCTCTCTTGTATTCAAATGATTAAAACAAAGACCAAATATGGCACATTTGACAACCAACAAGGGCTGTCAACCCTGCTTACGAAGCCACTAAATGATGTCAGAAAAGTCCCGGATTTGGGGGGGTAAAACTATCACGCCTGGCATGCTTTTTGCCGTATTGGCTTTTGTTAAGCTCCAGCGCGGCCGGGGCCAGTGACATGCCGTAATGAGGTCTGCGTGTGACACCCGCCGCCTCCCAAACATCGCACCCCATACTGTATATCATGCATTACATATGTAGGCCCCCCCCACCCCCCGACTCCCGGCCGAGCATAAGGGGATTGGTGTGTTTCTCGCTGTCTGTCTGCGCCTGCTCCTCGGCGGCATGTGTTTAACCCCAGAACGTGGCCTTCCTGCCCTCTCTATCTGCCTGACTGATTTGCTAGGCTCCGGGGAGAAGACGCAGGATGTGAATGCATGTGTGTGCGTGTGCGTGCGCGTGTGTGTGTGTGTGTTTGTGTGCGCTACATCTGACAAACATGGGATTCAATCTACAGAAACGCAGCCTTTACCCCGAGCCTTCGCACACACACACACACACACACACACACACACACACACACACACACACTCTCTCTCACTCACACACGTGGGCCTTTGATGTGAGATCAGAGGCAGCTATGATGCAGGTCGATCAGGTGCGTGGACAGAAAAGTAGAAACCGGGCTGGGGGGAAGAAAGGGAGAGAGGGGAAGAAGGAAAGATTGCTTCTGTTAAAACTAAGCAGTTGTTTTAACAACCCCTTGGGTCCTCCACTCATTATATCCCCCTTTTCCTCTCGTTTTCCTGCCTCCCTGTTTGCGTTCATTCTGTCAGCGTACAGTCGTACGCAGACACTCATGGGGGGGCGATCACAGTCAGACACAAAGGCAGCAGCCCACAGGATGACGAAATGCGACTCCCGTTTCAGCAGAACATTCTCTTGACCGTCAAAACAGGTGCGGACGGTCATCTCTGAGAGACCACCAGCGCACCCACATTTCCCCCTGCTACTGTAAAAGCCTCCTTCCAGACTTATAGAAATCCTGTCTGTCTCCGACAAGCAGTGTGGTCCAAAGCCGGGCGGCCCGCCACTTTTGAAGAGTTGCGGAAGAGAAATGCACACAGATACACTCGCGAATTTACAAAAGAAAACAACCCAAAAAAAACCCAAAAATTCAGAGTCAACACGTTCAAGTAAAGGCACCAAGAAAAGCTTGCACGTCGGCTTTTTCCCAGCCCTCAGAAGATGGACGGAAAGAGGTAAAAAGGCTGAGAAGACTCTCCCCTCCTGCCAGGATGAAAGCCTCTTTTACTTGGGAGAACATTAGGAAGAACAAACTACCATCACAACAGGAGGGGGAACAGTCAACCACGGCATGCTCTCACATCAAACGCAGCAACCATTAATATTGTAATGCTTCCTTCCAGCGTGCTTAAACTCAAGAGCTAGACAACTAGTGTGGTCAGAGAGCAAGCTGGTTGCAGATGGGACTTTATTTGAAACAAAGCAGCTTTAGAGAAGCGCTAGAAACATCACTGAGGCTCTGACGCTGCACCGAAAAGCGTATTTTTTTCCACTTTTAGGCCCTTTAAAAACTAGTCTGTCGATATCGATTCGCTCGATTCATGACATGTCCCAGGACATTTGAAAACGGGCAAAAAAATGCAACTTTGCATTCACAGATGGGGAGTGCGGCAGGATGCACGGAGAGCGTGTGCCGTTCCACCCGATAAGGACCGCACACACCGGGAATAATAGCAGCCAGTAGATACTATATGTGTATGCATGAGCATCGAGTGGTGGCTATTGATCTCCTGTGGTCTGCTAGGGGGATGTAAACACGGTGTCTTTCAACAGGAAGCTCCAGTCAATACCAGCAGACGTCAACGGCGGCTACACACTTAACACATTCCCCTCGCTGTTATCAAATCACCTTGCTCGGTACAACTATACGGCCCACGGTGTGTATGTGTGTGTGCATGTGTGCCAAAACACTGAATCAGTGCTTAACGGAAAGTATTTCAACTTCAAAAATCAAAAACTAAGGTCTGTGCATTTGTTCCAGCTCATTCTGCAACAGTCTGCCTTTACAGGGAAGCAGATAATTGTTGATTAAAACAGTTTGGCTCTGCTTTATTTACCTCACTGCCTCACCATGACATCCTGGGGAAACACGCAGTTTCAAAGCTAAACAGACAGATGCGAGCCAGGTCTGGCTGTGACTGAGATGATCCTTGTGCCAAATTAAGGTGAATCTATTCAAGGCTCATTCTCTTTAAGCCACTCCAGTGCGTGAATAACCCACCGTGGAACGTACTTGCACACTGGCGCATTTAGCGGCGTGGGACATGCTTACATTTTCCCTCATTATTAACTTCCTGTAAGGTGTCTTTTCACCCAGGTGAAAATGTCTAAGTCCTTCAAAACGTTCTCGGCCCAGTCAGAGAAAAACTCAACGGCTCACGCCTTGACGCACAAATTGTACGGTGGTGGAGAGCGTTGTCTCAAACACCTCTATGCATATTCAATACATCCTGATAAGGACTTCACAAAACGCAAACACGCTGGCAGCCAGACACTGTGCATGCTCAATACACTGTGCTGAGTGGGGAAAACAATGTTTTGAAATGTGGTGACCACGGAACTGCACAATATCTTCTATTGGGCTCATGCACTTCCTTTTTGGTGCTTGTATCTCATTAGCAGACACTTGCAGCTCATGTTTGGGAGCTAAATTTGAGTAGAAACCAGATTAGCCAGGTCGTTTTGTCCAGAGAACCAGGAATCTGGTTAACGAGCGGCTAATTCCTCGATTATCCTAATTAGAAAAACAGGTAATCATTCAGTTTGTCTTCTTAGCGGGTCAGAGGTATCGCTTCTTTGCATCGACGAGCTGGACGTTTGGGCTCTGCACAGGGGCTCTCAAACATCTGGCTCCATTTATCGCAGCGCTCACTTAAGCTTTTCCTCCACTGTGACTCGCACACACATTTTCACACAGCTCCCGGACACGACGTGTTTTTGCCACTCAACTCCTCCAGTTCCCCCCCCC